TATATACCGTGTGGGCGCTATTATGTACACCGCGTTCTACAGAGGTAACCAGGATATACAAAGCGGTGAACCGTCTTGGTGTATACCTGGGTAGCACGATTATACCGATCTTTTGCGACTCGATCGGTACCGTCACCGCTTGGTGATAATTCGATTGGCTGTCCGTCTGAAACGTTGTCGTATGAGTCAATAGACTCCTGACACATGTTGTTTAGACGTCAGAATTACAGTTTAAGCTGAGATGGTGGACAACGTCACCTGGRCCGTGGTTGTTGTACTAATTATAGTCCGCTTCGTCTTATGAAAAGACTGGATTTTCATTTCAAAATAAATGAATAACTACGTCACATTTGGAGAAGTAAGAAACGCAAACTGAAGGTACCAGCTGTAGGTATGTAAACATTAATTAGTTCTAATTATTATAGTACTTTATAYATAGTTACTACAAGTTCGATTCTCAAACAGTAAAAGAAACTTGTATGTTCGGTTCGTATTTTTTTCATTCCTAGTTCGAAATTCGAACAGCTTAATCCATAACTAACCTAACCTATTTTATATGCAAGCGTAATACATAAARAAAAAGTGAAATATTTCAATCTATTTTATCCTYATATACCTAATACCTATATGGCGTACCCATTTGACTTTTAATCTAAATAATAAATAGTAGTTATGTTGTTGGTGGAATATTAATAAATTACATWTCCAGAAAAACTTTTTAAGTACCTATTYCTATAAGTTTGTTTTTTGTTGTAAAAAATATAATATTTTTCACATTACCACAAATATTTTTTGTGCTCCCGTCGATAAACGTGCCGCAAGTTGACTCGTAACAAACTCACATATATATCGACAATTATATTTGCCTACAGTGAGTCCCGTGCTTGTTTTAATATTGCTAAAGTTTTAATCAATTAATCATCTTTTTTATGGTATTTTTAACCTTAACAGTTATTTTTGTCATTATGCGTTTATTTATCTTATAATTTATAAATGTTAAATTCATGCATCGTTGCTGAGTTCGTTTCGTCATTCAAAAGGTTAGCAAACATTGATAATTAATTTT